CTCGGACAGACCCTTCGGCTCTAGGTGGGTGGTCATCTGCCTTGACCAGTTGGGGTGAGAGAGAGAGAGAGAGAGACAGAGACAGACAGACACTAATGAACATTAATAATACATGCAGATGTTACATGCAGATGTGTAAAAGCCCCCCCATCATATCTTGCACCAAGCCGCTTCATAATACAACTTTTTTTTTAAAAAGGAAACAAACTTCCCTATCCATAACTTGTTATTCTGCTGTAACACATTTTTATTTTAATGTAGACTTACTGTTATGCTAGTATGCACTGTGCAGCTGTGTTATAATGGGAAGCTGCATTTTAAAGCCCTTCTTAGAATTGACCCCTTACCCCTCACTCCCTCTTAGGGCCTTGCTTCACGGGATAGAACCTTTTATCCGTAGAAGAGTTGGTGCCCACCTCTGGCCCCATACAGTCATAAAGAAGCAGTCTTCATAACCAACCAAGGTCATTTGTCCTCCGTGCACAATAAAGCACTACATTTGCAACGCGTCACTAAACTGTAGTTAAGCTAATTTTGCACTCGTGGCTTAATTGTTGCAAACATTTGTCTTTGACTGGAGTTTAATGATGTTAATTGCTGTTGGGTGAAATAAAATGAGAAGCTCTCGCAGGGTTTTTGTTCTCACTGAGGATCTGAGGTTGGAGTGTGTCGTTTTTAGTTATTGTTTCTATAATGTGGGCGTTGTGAAGCCCTTTGAGTCTGTAACTGTGATTAAGGGATATGCAAATAAACTCGTAGAGAGCAGATGCATTAAAAGCACCCAGTGTTTACATTGTAGACTGGCTTTTATTTATTTTAAATGGCACGTCAGTTCGACTCTCGAGACTTGTGTTGACAGTCTATTTTTATTTAGAGTGAAAAAAAGACATGCTTGCTTACGTGTTCACACTCTCTGGCCTGTTTTTTTAATCAGCATTGTCTTTTCGTCACATGCTGAGCTCACCATCTGCTGCTACTGCAGCCCCGTGAACGTCCTTAAAAAGTCATTGCTGCATTCGTAATTATCTTCGTTTAATCACCTCCCCTCTTCAGGGAGATGAAAGGTTATTAGAAAATGAGCACACATGGGGAATTCATTAAAAGTGCAGCAGAATACTGTATGCAGGTATATGCAGCCATGGATGGTGATGTGTTTCAGTATTTACTGTTTTTTTTTTTGTTGTTTTTTTTAATCGCTGGAATTCCATCACACAATGTCCACGCTGCTGTCTCCTCCGGCTGTAATTATGTCTTCCTGTATAAGCTGCTCCTGCTCTCCCTGTCGGTTATGTCTTGTTTGTTTGCACATAACAGCTAAGTTTTGGGACTGTTAGATTTTAGATCCTAATGCAAGTTTGAGCACTTGTGTATCTTGTCATAAAGATTTTATGGAAGGAAAAAACTAAACAAAAAGAGAGAGCTGGGGTGTCCCGAGGTCCAACAAGTTAAAAAAAAAGTCTGCACACCCGAATGGATCAGAATGCTCTTTTAATTTTATTTAAGGTTCTTCTTTAAGCGCAGGGGAGCACAGATGAGTGAAAGAAGCATCGATGAGGGTTTGGATTTGGGTTGGAATAAGCACTTGTGGTTAAGGTTAGGGAATGATCATGGACATCCTGAAAATCAAACAACCTGGACTGCTAGCAGAAAAACTGGAAGCGAACACACATTTCCTGTCCTATGTTTTGTGGACATCCGTCATACTGGTCCCTGAAGCATGGTTTCAGACAGAAAATGAGGATTTATTGAAGTTTATTTAAAATGAAAATGATTTTATGGAGGATAGGACTACAGATTTGTTGTCAGCCCAGTCAGTGTATTGTTGGTGATTTACAGGTGACTATACAACTAGCGGGACTAAGTTTAATTAAATAATTACAGTTCTTTTAAAGTATCTTTGCCTTAGTAATTGTATTTTCAACAGGATCTCCTAGCCACATTTCTTGGCAAAAGCAGTTGAAAAATAAAATCCTTCAAATACATCACAGTATATGGGTTTAAAAAGGTGGTACTACCACAGTAATTGTGGGGTTGTTGTTTTTTTTTTTACATCTGCCTACATCTGGACTAATCTATGCAGATCTGGTAGCAATGCAAAGAAGGGATTATTTTGTATCCAAACTTGTCACTAACACTGGCGTATTCTCCTATATATCGCCCTCTTCCTCCTCTGCTTCTTGTCATTGACAGTCATTTAAGTCACATTTATTCATCAGAGAAAATGATCAAACTGAATACTGTGGCAGAAACACAGCTCTGCCTTTGCTCTCCTCTTGCTTTCAGTGTGAGAATAAGGCTGGTTAGCATTCATGTGTTGCGTTCCTGGTCTCTCACACGTGGCAATGTCCTCCATTATTGTGCAGTTGTAAATGTTATGAAGTTTTGCTGTTTGGGGAGTTTTTGTTCCAAAACAGGGCAGAAGTGGGAACGTGGGGCTTTGAAAGGCAGATATCTCAGCAGCTGGCCCAGTAATTGTTTTGCTGTATTGATCAGCATCCTTTTTCTTAATATTTCTGTTCGAACAGTTGCACCCAGTGTGTTTATTTTACTGGACGGTTAAAATGATTGTGCAAACAGAACAGATAGGCAGCGAATAAAGGCAGAGCTGCAGCAGTGAACACCGTCAGTGCTCTGTCATTGAAAACAAGGTCAAGGTGACGGAGAATCTAATTGACGCTCAGCTCAACCCCACCAATTCCCCCGGGATGTTATACAGCAGCACCACCCGCTCTCTCCTCCACCAGCACCACATGGTTACACCACAGGCTCAGGCTCACATCTCATTAGCATTTGACCGCGTGGGCAAAGCAAAGCAGCTTCATCTAATGCATCTAATAGTGAGAATATATTCTGTGTAATTTAATTAATGTGTTAGTGTGTGTCTGTGGCCAAATAATGAATTAAAACCATTTCACAGCAGCAACAGAATCAAAGTGGTCTGTAAAAAAACTGAGTGTATTGTTAAAACGCTGTTTTATTTTTAATCAGGATAAAAAAAAATGTCCTGTATTAAACATGAAGCATCTGTTCAGTAAAACTCATCACAGAAGAACATGAGCAGTTTTTAGATAAATATGGCTGCATGACTTGCACTGTGATGTGACACATGGTTACAGATCCACTTTAAAACAGGGACATTTATTCCAGCAGCAAGAGGAGGGAGAGCATCAAGAAGTTTTGCTAACAGTTAAACATAATTGGAAAAATGATGGATTATGCTTGCTCCAGATAGGGCCTTTTGTGTTTTTCACAGCCATGTTAGTTTCTCTTTTTTTTTTGAGTTGAGGGGATGCAGTTGGTTGTAATCTGAAATCTCACCACTAGAGCACTAAAACCTACACACTGGTCCTTTAAAGGAGAAATCCACAGATTTTCTGCTGAAAGTTCCCGGGGAAGTACTACTGCATATGTTAAAAAAAGCTGTCTCCAGAGGGAGCTGTGTCAAGTCTGATAAATGTCCTCAAGTGGTGTCACTTGAGTCAGCATCAGTTGGGCCTGAAAGATTAAAATAATCTGGGGGTATGGAGTTAGAAAGAAGTGAGCTCACCAGACTTCTGTAGTCTGCTACTCATCCTGCTGCAATCTAGAGGCTCTAGGCTACAGTCAGCGCTCGAGTGGCATTGTAGGTAATGTAGGCACTGGAATCAAAAAGATATCTCTGGTTCTGCTGCATCGATTTGGATCCTTTTTTTTCCATTTTTTGTCTGTCAATGTTATAGGATTGCAATGCTAGACCTGTGGAGTAGTCGTTTAAGCTGTTGAAAACAATTATTTTCATTACAGACTAATCTGTAGACTATTTTATATTCTTTGATTAATTGTTTAATCTACAAATGTCAGAAATAGTAAAAGAAAACGCCTGTTGCAGGTTCCCGGAGTCCACACTGTTGTTTTGAAATTGCTTCAATCCAAAGATATCTAATTTACAATGATATAAAACATAGCAAATCCTCCACAGACTATCGACTAAATAAATAAATTTTTTATGGTTTGGGCAAGGCTTCTTAAATCCAGTGAAGGTAAATTGTAGTAATACAGCATAAACTGATATTTTAGACAACATTGTACTTATAACTTTATGCTAGCAGTTTGCGTTTGTCCCTTTCTTGTTTCAATGTTTCAATGCACAGAATCATCTCTGTTAAAAAAAAAGAAGATTTTTCAAGGTTTGACTTGATAAAAGATGTCAGAGATGTTTGTGATTAATAGTTGTGAAATATGAAGCACAATGGTTGTCAATCTGACATTTGAGATTATCATTTTAGCCTTGATAATGCAGCCCCACGTTTTAAGCATTTAGCTGATGTTTATTCAGAGCAGCTTAGAATAAGCTTTAAATCCTGGATCACCCACATTATAAGCAACAAATACAAAGGTTAAAGCAATATTACCAAGGCAACAAATGTATAAATGTGTGTCCGCTGACTGTTTATGTACAATAGAGAAATACTGGGTTTTTTCTTCCTACAGTGAGACTGACCGAGAGGCCAACAGCTGAGAGAAGTTTGACTGCATGAAGAGGCCGAGTGACGGGACCCTGGTCCTCACCTAGACCCCTCCCACGACCCCCCCACTGCCTGGACATGGTGAGCCTCTTGTGCATGTCTGGCGTTTGTTCATGTTGTGTGTTTTTTAGCCACAAATAGACCCCAAAATAAGTTAGAAATGTTGTGTTATCAAATGGTTGAATGCTGGTATACAGCCATTCCTTGGGGTTCACATCAGGCAGCTACCTTGTGAGTGCAATCAGAAATGACTAGTAACTTTGTAAGAAGAGGTACAAATATAGCAGGAAGTAAACTATTTCTTCCTGAGACAAGCAGCATAGAATGATTGATCATTTGCTAGTGTGATTGTGTATTCCTGACCGTTGAGGCTAAACAAACTGTTTTGTTCATTTTGAAACCATCACTTTTGTTTGTCTACTCACCTAAGCTGATTAAGTTTGGGATGTGCTGGCAGCTTAAGAATTTATTTGTCAGACCAAAGGTATATTCGACTGTTTCAGGCAGCAGGGTAACAAGCGGTGTGCCGACACACCTTTTTTCCCATGTTGAAACACAGAAGTCCCATTCACCATCATGTGTGGAACAACACAACGCAAACAATGTCCCGTGGATTTGAATGAGAAGTTTTGATGAATGAGACACAGTGCAAGGTCTTAAAAATATCCCAACCCAGTTTGATTTCAAGCTTCTGTCAGACGGTCAGCTAAGAGGAGACTGATTGAAAACAGTTGGAGCAATGCCTACAGCAACACGGCCTGTGTCATTTAATCTCAAAGTTGTCTGTAAATGTGATTAATCCTAAATGTCCTCAATGTGAATACTGCACTGATATCCAAATGGTGACTTTTGTACACTATGTAATGTAAATTATGTAAAAATTAGATTTTCCCATGATCAACAAGAAAAACACATTAGGTTTCCTCAGGTGGTTTAATGTCTGAGGACAATGAAATACTGTGCTATTGACAAGCTAACTGCAGGGGATGGCAAGCCACCGCCACAACCGCACGTGACGTCACACCATGATGTCAAGTTCAGTGTTTGTTTTTTAAGACGGAGAAGCGTTCCAGAGCGGCTGGGCCAAAGAGATCGGACACAGCAGAGGCACTGTCTAAAATGCAATATCCCTCAATTCACAGCCCAGGATTACAAAAACACACAGGAAAAGGTCCGTAGCGAAGAAATTCCCAACTGGAAACCCCAGCAGTGATGTAGCAGCTAATGCAGACTGGTCCGCTAATCATTCCAATTCACCAAAGCTGTGCCGTTTGCATCCCGCAGCTCACCAGTGTTTCGGTTTAATGAGTGACCCTGTTAATTGGCGACTTTCAGTTGAAATAAGTCACCAGTTAGTTAATAAAGTCATCTGAAAGTGGCCAGTTAACAAGGTCACAGACCCAGCAGGCATGGAGAAGGAAAGTGCAGGTGATCACTGCAAGCAGGTACTGAGATGAGACATTATTCTGCTGTACCCCTTACAGAGTAATTAACAACAACAACAAAATGGCAATAATACCACAGACAGCACTGTTGAGCCACTCTAAATCACTGCAAGGGAAATTCCTTCACCGCAAAAGCCCTCTTTGCATTTGTCCCTTCAACATCAAGAGATTCACCAAAAGTTCTGCACCTACATACGTCTTTGGAGAAACAGGGAAAGGGAAAGTCTAAATAAGTCAAAAGTCCATCAACAGTTTTAGGATTAGGACTCTTTAGTCCAGATTAGTCAGATTAGTTGGATGTTTTGGGTATTAAAATGGTGGTTGTGTAAGAAACCTTTTGTTTGACAAATGAATGAAAAAAGTACAGCACATGTACACTGAATGTACTGTACTAAATAAATACTTCTAACCCATCAAAAAGTACTTTTTCAGCAGGAGGGACTCCTTTTGAGGGAAAACCAGAGCAAAACTGGAACCATGTTAATTCATTTAAAGTTCCTGAACACATTTGGAGAAAATGTTGAATATTCAGCAAATGCAGCAGTCATTGCCAGTGATTATTTACCTTAATGTGAAATATTAAGCGCTAGTAGTTTTTGATAGAAAAGGTGTTTAACATTTTCTTGTAGAGACTAAATAAATATTTTTGATCAAATGGCATCCTTTTTTTCTATACATCATGGTGTATATTTTCCCTATCACATAGATTGAGATCAGTATTTTGTAGAGAAATATATGAGGAAAATAATAATCTCTGTGTGGTGGTTATCTGTTGCCTTCACAGATGCTTTGTACCCTTCATATATAATATAAACCAAGCTTGGTTCACACCATGACAAGACGTCATCCTCCCCAGTGATATGATAGAGAAAAGAAAATGTTAAAGGAATCGTTTCTGATATGTGTGTCAGATTTAAGTAAATAGCATCCACCGACAAACCCTGCAATGCAATTAATTAAAGCAGTGAATGTCATTATCCTCTAATTGCGATGCCAGTCTGAACTCCCAGCTGTCTTGTAGGTAACAAATAAAAGGAAGCGGCCTGATGGCGGGCTGGGCTGGGCTGGGATCCAGAAACCATGTTGAGGCTGTGAAAGTCTTAATCTTTCATTTAGATCTTGTTAATGTTTGTGTCTACGTTTGTGTGTTATGGTTGTTGACGCTGCCCACACTTGCCGCTACACCGCCTCGAGTGCCCTCGGCAGTTCAGCGAAAGATTAGCTAGGTCGTGATGAATGACCCTCGCAACTTCAGCACAAGCCCCCGAGTCTTGTGGCCATGAATTATTAAAGCACCATCATAAATAACTCACCGTAATGAGGGTGTGCTTACATACTGCAGGCGGGGAGAGAGGGAGGAGAGGAAAAAGGAGAAAAGAGAGGATCGGAGTTGAAGAGGAAGGGATGATTGAGAGAGATAGCAGTTTGACCTTGGACTGAAAGCCTGTCGTGATGCTCAGCCGGCGGACGGACGCACTCAGGCTTGTAAAAACGAGCACAGAGCTAATTTTGCACATCAGACGTTTTTTTTCCTCCCCCTCAGAGAGATGAGCTCTATCCCTAAGTACATGTCATAAATGTTAATGTTAAGTAACGGCGGCTGTATCTAGGCCACGCAGAGATTGGCAGCAGCACAGGTTGCTTCAGGTGTTGCTGTCATCGCGCAGAGCGTTTCTGACACGAAAACAAGCTCCAGCGTTTGCGCCAGAATGTCTGAGGAGGAAATTCAGGAAAACAACACCAGGCGTCGAATTTAAAAACAGTGTGTTAATGTTCAAAGAAATCTATTTTTCTCTGGATTTCGTCTGCTTCCCCCAGCAAGCAAGCAAACTCTGATTAGTTTCTCTGTGATTACCCAGAGCTAACACTGCTTTGATGATGATAATCTTTCTTTTCACCTTAAAACCAGTTTTCTGATCCTTCAGTATTGAGCACCATTAAAACCACCATGGTCACCGAGTGTGCAGGTTGATAGCAGAAAAAACTGCTGGAGATGTGTGAAATATGCTTTGAAAAGTAGATATCAGACATGTGAGGTAAATTATACTGGCTATGACAACCGCTCTACCCGGCTAAATCTTTGCTAAGGTGCTCAAAGCGTCAGTGTGTCCAAACTCAGTCAAGATTTCCATACACTTAGATCCATGCAATATATCACTTTATTTAGCAAGCTTTTGGCTTCCTATCTGACCTTCATCAGAGCATACTGAGGGTGTCATACCTTGACAGTTAGATAGACAGAAAGCTTGCTAAATAAAGTTATATATTGCATTGTGTGTGGAAATCTAGTTTGGACTGTCTATATATAAAGTATGTGGACACCTGAAGATATAACCCATATGTGATTGTTGAACATATGATTCTAGAACCACCTCCACTCAAAACCTTGCTGCAGGGAATTGAGTTGAATTGAATTTGCTCCCATTCAGCCACAAGAACATTAGTGAGGTCCAACACTTACGTTTGGTGATAAGGTCTGGCTCACAGTTGATGTTTCCGGTTCATCCCAAAGGTGTTGCATAGGACTGAGGTCAGGGCACTGCAGGACGGTCAAGTTCTTCCACACCAAACAGGGAAAACCATTTTCTTGTTTTCCAAGTTTGGGTTTGTGTATGTTGGCATTGTCATGTTGAAACAGGAAAGAGACAAACGCAAACTGCTGACATAAATATGTAAACAACACTATTGTCTAAAATTGTGCAGTGGCATTTAAATTTCTCTTAATTGGAACTAAGGGACCCAAACCATAAATATTAACAACCCCAGACCAAAAGAGGCTGAAGAGAGATGTCCACATTAAGCTGGCTGAATTTAAAAACTTATAATTATCTCTTTGTTTTGGCCCTCTGTTCACACTAAAACTAAAACTTTTCTTACTCAATAACAATAACAATACGTTTTCTAACAGAGTGACTGGATAAATCCAAAGACGCCTGTTTGGAAGTTTACTGTGTACAGGAAAAACCATACATTTGCAAAACGTTGATGCACAAAGTAAAGGTGTGTAGTGTTGTCATTAAAGGTCCAGTGTGTAACATTTAGGAGGCTCTATTGGCAGAAATTAAATATAAACAACTTTATACAAATAGTTGCAATCTGCAACTTTGCCGCCAGAAATGATTTGGTCAGCAGGGCTGTGTCTGTTCTGAAGTCCTTATGAAAACAACCTGGAAATGCTAGTGTTAATGCAAAATTAGCATTTCTAAAATGCAGTTGTGTAGTGTGGACATAGGTGGACACGGGTGTCCTGCATCCCATCTGTAACAGCTACTACATCAGGTAGATGGACAATGAAATTGAATTCATTTATTCAGTAATATATAGCCAATTTGTTGGTGAACATTTAGCTCCTCACAGCCTCAGAAGCCAGTTTTAGTTCAATAGTACTTGTGAATTGCTCGTTAAGTTATAACTGACACGCCCCCTATTTTTAGTATGTACTTCATCTGAAATTAGGTTTTCAGATACTTTAACATAAAAAAAAGCCATCAAGCTCTTTTTACTTAAGTCAGTAGGTGCTCACTGACTGTCTAACCATCAAGAACGTTCCTATGGCTGACGTTTATGCTGATTAATGATAATGATTAGGCAAACAGACCATCTCAAAGGTCACAAGCTGCAAAGGCCACAGGTTCGATTCCTACAGAAGCCCATTTAGGTACATCAGCAGACATGTTTCCTCTCTAAATGACCTCAAGCTTCACTCTGCGCCTACAACAGCTCACTCTGTGTGATTCATACTGAAATGAAAACATGGCTAAAATAAAAATCATAATGTCTCTCTTTCCCTTCATCTGAACCCAGAGGTCGTTCCGATCGTTTGCAAACGACGACCGCCATGTCATGGCCAAGCACGCCAGCATCTATCCGGCACCAGAGGAGCTGGAGGCCGTCCAGACGCTGGTGTCCACTGTGGAGGGAGCCCTCAAGAAAGTCTCTGATTGGATGGATGGCCTCAGCAAATCCTCAGGGAAGACCTCCACCAATGATGAGGCTGGGGACAATATGGTGGAGAAAGACGCTACTGAGACAAAGTACGTCCCCCTGTATGTGCTCGTATTTTGTTGTTGTTTATACCGTGATTATTAAAAGCACTGATTCTGCTTTAAGCATCGCACAATGTTTTCCTACAGTTCAGTTATGTGCCAAACTGCTAATTGGACGTGTTTTCAGAGTTCAAGATGAAGTGGATTTATTGCTCATTCCAGTTTATTTTTGTATCTTCAGCCTTTTCTTTAGCACAGTGCCATATCGTTTCCCTCATAAAAAATGTGTTCAGCTGTAAATCTTCAATCGGGAGGGTACGTGTGATGATTGGATGATTAAACAAGCTCAACAAACAGTCATAAATTCTCAACATTTGGATTGTGGCCTGAACATCCATCCAGTTATTCTGTATTAAGAAAGCATCTCTATAGAGATACAGTTGGGTGCTGATTTCATACAAACAAACCAATCTCACAACAACAACAAGGGCAGAAAAAGAATGTACTGTTGATGATATGTAGAAGTAGATCAAGAAGGACCAGTGTGGTGAAATTTCAGATTGTAACCATTTGAATACAGCTCAGACTTCCAGGTTTCTTAGAGACTCTACGGTGACCACGAAATTGTGAAAAACATAAAAGGCCCTGTCTAGAGCCGGTGTTTGGTTTGTCCGTTCAGGGCTACTGTAGAAACATGCGATTCAATGTGGCAGAAAAGCCCCCTCTGTAGATAAATGGCTCATTGTTATTTTCAGGTGATTCTGCAGACAGTTTCTTTGCTGGAGAGGGATCCATCCTGGCAGTCACATATAGATTTCTTGCTGGGACAAAACATGAGCAATTAACCTTCACATAACTACCAGGATGAACATACACAGTTAATTCCTCTAACTCATACTAATGAAACATAGATTTTACATTTGTAATGCGTTAGAAAGGAATCTGTTCATGGCTAGTATAAAGATAAGAACTATATTAGTCAATGATCTTTCATATGACATGTGACACTTTAATGGTTGTGAAATAATGAGATGTAGTAGTTACATTTAGAAATATGACCAGCTGTTCACTGTAGTGAGAGCTGAGGACCCATTCTCAGGCCTTTATGTGTTATCACCTCTGTGCTGCTGTCAGAGACTTTGACGCTGGCTTTCATCCATTGACCCTCAGGCTGGACGGCACACCGGTGCTGTGCGGGGTTACACGTGTCGGTCTTGTGGCCAAAGGCCTGCTGATCAAAGGGGACATGGACCTGGAACTGGTGCTGATGTGCAGGGAGAAACCCACCAAACCGCTGCTGTACACCATCAGCGCCAACCTCCCCCTGCAGATCCAGGTACACTCAACCACACCTCCAGCACTGCAGTGTTCAGCACTGTGCATCCAAAATGAGCCATAAGAACATAGCTGAGGAAACAACCTTGGGGTGGGGAGGCTTTTAAAAAGCATCTTTGTGATCTAAGCTTCAGTGCAAACACTCGTCCACAGAGAACAACCAGAAGTTCTTTATGTGTGATAAAAGAGTTTGTCTGGTGACATTGGAAAAGAGACATGCTGACACCCTGAAGTGAAGCAGGACATGATGATAATAATAATAATACTAGTGCAAGTCTTACGGAGTTACAAAGACATTACTTACTAGACAGTATTTACTTCGGATACAGATAATACATAGTATATATCATATATATTCACAATATAGCATTATATGTACATTGTGAGATTATATTTACTCGTAAAAGAGTGCAAAACACATAATTTGACTCATACTATTCAGTGGTGATTTGTATATTCTTACATGCAGTTAGAAATACCAGAAGGTGAAAGGAACCTTTAAAAATTTAAAACAAAAACATCCTCTGTCAGCTGTGATATGTGGGTGTATTTGCAAAGCTCTGAGATTACATTGTTAAACAACACAGCAACCCTACATTTCACACATTTTAGTGAATTATGCTTTTGCATTTGTTGTAAAATGAATTTAAGATATAGATATTTTGGATTCAGAAGCAATATAAATTCAATCAGATATGCACAGGACAACAGGGTATTAGAAAAACACGCTTTAGATTATTTAAAATTTTGATAAATGTTTAGACTGAATTGGTAATAAAGATAAATAGAAATACTTTAAATACAACCTAAAATACACAGAACAAAGGATGTTACGCAGCTAAAGGTTTACTTATTTAACATGGACCAGAATTAAAAATGATTACATATAGGCCCAAAAATGCATATAATGTAAAATAAATATTCTTCAGTTAAAGTACATTGAAAGCAGTATTTGACACACAGAATATGTAGTTGTAGAAGGATACTAACGGAGTTACACACCTTTAACTAATGTCTGCTTGCTCAAAATGGCAGAATGAAAGGAAAGAAGGAACACATAGGGAGAAATAATACACAGTATGTAAACACATTGGCTCATACTAGCCGAATACCAATGACACGGCATGACATGGACTAGATTCACAAAACTAACCACTCAAATAAAGTTTAAATATCAAGCCATCTCCATATCACCAAGTGTCCTTCTCAGTGTAAGCAGTGTAAAGAGTGCTGTCTTGATCACACTCACGATCACAAGCAGCCAGGTGTTCAGTAAAATCAGCATAAGCTTAATTAGCCTTAGTAATTAAATAAAAACCACTGCAAAAATACCAGCCATGCCTACTATTACATCCCAAACAAAACAAACGCCGATATATTGTTTTACTGACATTTCAACTCAAAAAATTATAAAAGAATAATTCAATAAAGATAAAGTCAGTCAAATTTGAAGTCATTATTTGACCCTCTAATCCAGCAGAACAAGTTTAAATCATTAACAACACAAACAGTACACAACATTTTAAGCCTGAATGGAGCCCAACATACTTCTGTCCCCACAATAATGATGTATTACAGAGGCGTTTTTGGGCGACATAAATAATTTCTCAGGGAGAAACTGTTTTTCATTCTTAAACCAGATGAAAGGTTTATTTTTAGTCAGTAGAAGAAGGGGATGCCGAGGAAATGATTTGAAGTGGATATGATGTGATATGAAAAGGAAGTGTCCTGTGCTACTGAGACTATACTTGATTTATCTCTGCCATTCTGTCGCCGTGAGATGTTTAAAGCCCAGGTTGCATTATAATCTTCAGACCCCAACTTCTGACCACCGGGACCCTCTCTTTACAGCACAGACTTGCTATTTCAATTGGATATGATGCATCCCAGTAACCTTGAGAGCACTGTGTGTTTTTACCAATCTTAATTCTGAGCCACAGAGTTGTGGAAAATTTTGTATCAAAAGATCTTTTCCCTTCAAATGGGTTTTCAGTCCCCCCCCACACATTTGCTAGCTAACAAAGCATTGCCGACGTACACAGAGCCTAATGTGCTTCCTGTGCCTCCCTCTCAGTTAATTACCTGCCATAGCTGCCGTGCGTGCTTCATCATCAATGGAGGAAACCATTTGAAGCTCTCATTTCCTGGGCCAAACTGGGAGAGATTGACAGGCAGAGGTGGTGATGGATAGGGTCATTTCTCATGGAGACAAGATAGAGAGAATGCACTTGAAAACATGCCACTGAAGGTAACACGAATCCTGAGGAAAAACAAGATAGTTTGTCGTGCTGGGAATTGTCTTGCAATCACAACAGGAGTGAATACTGTGAATGAAATGTGGAGGAAACAGGAAGGCCTGTTTGGTACTGACAAACAAATGTATGCTTAAGTCAAATGATTTTTGTTTTTACTTTAGATGTTTCACCACCTTTCTTTTCTTTCTTTTGTATGGAAACTGTAAATAATGACTCACAAATAACTATCCAAATAATGAAATTTCATCAGTACCATCAGTAAAAAACTGGCATAGTTAGATAAACAAAAACACAACAATTCCTA